TCATCTTTGAGTTTCCACTAACCACTCTGTTTTGTAAGTGCTGAAAAGTGGGGATTGCGAACTGCGAATTGATTGCTCAAAATGAGGTCATTATAGTTAGTGGTTTCTCTGGGAGAGGGAATGTATAATTCTCCTAACCTCATTACTCCCTGCGCGCGTAGTTTGTTTCCGGCCGTCTCTTGTTTTTCTTTTCTATGGATAATTGTCCAAAAAACAGTGCACCTGCACACCTACTCATTGGAACTCAATTCTGGCTACGACTGTCAAGTTATAGTTCTATAGTGTTTGGTGTTGTATTCGTGCTTGTACCGGCGTCCAACTTGTACCCTTATTATATCCCCCATACTCGCGCTTGTACCCATACCTAAGACACACATGCTCGTACTAGGAATCGTTATCGTACTTGTACTCGTACTTACGCTCTCGTACTCGTACCCATACTCATACCCGATGCCTTTGTCATGCTCGATCTCGTCATCTACCGGCACAAGGCCAGCCCCTAACTGATTTTTTTTTTCAAATCAATTAATGCTTCACTTTCCTCCGTCTGTACAACTGATTCTTTTAATGCAAATCTGGTCCACACCTTACACTTATGATGAGACATCGAATTGTTGCACTTCCTGTGCAGTCCCGTGACGCATGCTAACAGAGGGCAAGCAATTGTCCTGACAGAAGTCATAAAGCAGACAATTCCTTCGAGTTGCCCGTTAATTTTAGGAGTCGGGACAACCACACGTCCACATGGACTGTTCGTTGATAAATAGCTTGGCAACTTGGCAAGTAGCGCCTTCCTGGATATTATATTGCAACATCGCCGAAACAAACCATTGACATTGCGCGAAGCCCCCATCCACGACATCGCATCCAAAAAAAGGGGGGGCGTGGCAACATTTTGGCGCGCGCGTGTTTGTTTTTTTATGCTATACCCACAGAAGTGAAAGAAATTCACGACTGTTATGATATCACTCAGATCGACTCATCTTTTGCAGTATACTTCTCTTACTTTTGGTCTGCACCCTTCACACCCTCCACGTTGAACGTGGCAGGACTTTTAATTGAACTGGTGACTTGAGTTGTGTTTGACTTGACTTAATAGGCCTATATGACTTGTGATTTGACTTGTGATTCGATTTGTGAGCTTGTGATTCGACTTGTGATTGACTTATATTGATATGACTACAGTCCCTTCAGTGATTACATTGTGCTCGACTGAAGTAGCCAATATCGTCCAGACCTGATATGAAGTCATCCTCACCGATATACGGATTTCTGTACAAACTAGCGCCCGAAGTTGTAGCCGGTACATAATCGTTTGTGCGTATATAAAAAACGGAATGACGCTGTCTTTTGCGGGTTAAACTTGTAGTATAGGCCTACGTCATGGTGACAAACGTAGTGCGTCAAAATGGGACCGCTATATAGCCTACATCATTGTTGCGAGTACACCCATAGGATACAATCCTGGTGGGCCAGGATTTTTGGTTCGTTACAAATTCAGAATTACTTGGTGGTAAACTTAAAGATACTGAATCGGAACTGTGTTGACTCTGACGCTTTGGGGTACAGTAATTATCCACCGACTTAGGAAATGACAAAGACGTTCCCACTTTAGCACTGTGGGTTTCTGTTAATAAATTTTGTTTAAGGGCATTGACGTCAACCAACGTAAGTAGTCTTGACAAAAACAGCAGTCAGTTTCCTCGCTTCACACTTTATCATGAATATCCGTTTCTCACTAGCATTGATCTTTAAAACCTCTCTGTTATAAGACGCAAACCAGGAAACACAAAGGAATATGAAAGCTGGATAGGGTTGGATTCCACGAAAGTGCCGACCTTGAATTGAATCTGCCTTCAAAATTTTAAGCTGAAATGAATTGTTTGGAACCATGAAACACATCATGGGAAAATCATTTGTGCCTTTTCACGGTGAATAAAGAATGTGAATATAATATTGCGAAGTGTAGATAATCGATACCACAATTCAACAACATAGCCTAAAAGTAAAAGGTCACGCGGCGAGCTTCCGGAACCCTCGCGCTGTTCTCCTATTTTACGCTAGGTTGCCCTTTCTCTTGCTTTAATTTTTAACAGAATTTCTAACTGTAATCACAGCAAGAAACATTCACGTTGGATTGATCTTGGTATACCTCTACAAAAAATAATGAAAAATCACTTAGAGATGGGTAAAAACGAATTTTACTTACGTCTTTTCACATCCATCATTTTCGTAATTCCTTTCGTTCGTTCACACTTGTTTTCACAATGCGTACTTGCGTGAGAACGAAAATGTGAAACGACCCGAAGATTGACCTACCTACAGCCGATTTCTAGATTTATTTGGGCTGTAAAGGTATGTATACATTGCACCTCATTGAGATGTAGGAAGAAGCAACAAGGGGTGAAAACACTTAAAGATTTGTACCCATGCTCTTCAAAAAATGAAAAAAAATCTCCTAACGATTTTACATTTGTATGTTTTGTTTTAAGGAAAATAAAAGACTTTTCTCCCAATTTTAGGCGTCTGTAGTTCTCTGACAGAGGGATTTCTTTTTGCGCACAGATAAAACCTGCCCTGAGAGAGCAGAATTATTGTCGGGCCACAACGTAGAATGTTGTGAGGAAATAATTAGTTCTTCATGCGATCAAAAAAGAATGACATTTACATTGCTAAAAAAAAAAAAATTAACACAACAAAATTATCATTTCGGGGTCAAACTCGAAATAGCATGCACGGGGAATGCATTTTTAAAGTTAAAATGGGAAAATGACCCTTCTTCGACGAAAAACTCATTGAAGTAGTCACGTTATTGTCTTTAAGAACAGGAACGAGGTTCAAGAAACTGTATGATAGCTTTCTTGGCTAAATTCAGCGTAATCCAATAGCTTTGTCAAAATGGTCTTCCAATAATAGCCTATACTCTTCCCGACCAATTCCCGGCCAATTCCCGTCATATTCCCGAGTCAGCTATATTTCATAGTTAGCTATTTCATTTTAGATTGCATGTTGTGTTGCAATGATGTCTTGTACAAGCATGAAACAAGGCATTTTATGTTTACGTCGTTTGGGGTTCCCCCCTCACTCTTGGGGTTATTCCCAACAGTATAGTACACTATTCGGGATTACCCCCATGGTGTGGGGGTAATCCCACACGATGCCATTTTTTTTCTGTAGCCGTATTACGACTTGGATTAATGTTGACAAGATGATAAAAACATGTTTATTGTTGGGACTTGACTTGAACCTTGTCTTGACGTGTCAAACTTATATAGAAAAAACATTCAGTTTGTTGTAAAAAAAAGTCCCGTTGTAATGATACACGCAAATATATAGACAACAAATGAAATGTGCATCAAACATTTAAATGATAATTTCAGCTTTGTACAGACTAAGGTTTGCCCCCCCCCCCATTTAAAAAAAAAATCATCGGATAAGTAGGTAGTGCGACACCCCACAGTCCCCTCATGATATCGACACGCATGGGAAGTGCATAATTAAGAGTTGTAGTCTGCGGTTAGGGATGGGTTTTGCCGGGGGTTGCCAAACTGTAATTTCCGAACAACATCTCCCCACCCTGTATTCCACGTACATGGGAACCCCTACCCCAGACCCAGACAACCACCTATAAACCGAGACCCCACCGAAACGCCCTCATAGCTGGATCCCAGCCTTTGCCACCCATCCCGTCAATAATAGTGGCGTAGCGGTAACTGGGGTCTAATTTGCAACGGTACAATAGAGGGGTCATTTTTTTTTCAATAACAGTAAAGGGAACATTTTTTGCTTCGCCCAAGCAGGTGAGGCCTGTGGGGTGGGGCGCAGGCCTCGAGCGGGAGGGGGGGGGGCATTCCCCTTTAGGCACGCCAGTATTGTATCCACACACACAAGTTTTTACTGAAGTTGTTTTTCTTGTATTCATCCCCCGCCCTTCGCGGGAGGGGGGTTTCGATGCCCGCCGGATCTATTGACATTTGACCCTGTCTTCTGAGACATGACCCGACCCCAGCCCACCATCTTCATCCATTTGGATCTTGCTGGGTGTACATGATCAAGTAAAGTTCTTTAAGTAGTTGTGTTGGGGCAACTGCGACGATAAGCAAGTGCATCCTCTAACCCTGACCGGACAGCATAGCGTGATTCCAAGTGGATCCTAATTTGCGCTTTTCCGTCTTAAGCAACAAATTTATTTTCAAATGTCATTTTCCATCCATCAGTTTTAATTAAGAATATTTCTCCCGGTTAAGGACGAATGATATGTTTTGCGGCTAGATGTCGTTCGGTTCAAGTAAGTTTGTATTTCTGTCTTTCTTCCCCAAATTAAATTATGCCTAATAAAATTATAGAATGGACAGAGACATTTTGTATGAATCAAGGTTCTTATTTTCCTCTTGAAAGACCCGATCATACTTAACGCAATTGCAAATGCCAGGCGATTTTGACGTCAAAAAACGTTTACAGCAAAATTCGCTGACTTAAAAATGTGTTTGAGAGCTGTTGACAATTTGGAGTGCGAAAACTGGTGATGTCATGAGTTCGCGTCTCTTTTGTGAACCCGGCCTTTAGATGTTGCGTGGGAGGGTACCGAAATACCTGAAGTGCATCGTCAATAGATCGTTAATCTAAATTGTTGGGCAATATTGTATGAGGTTATTTAGGAAAGGAAGTCGTCATACAAAAGCCAGTTGTCAGTCATCCTACTTTCTCCCTAATTCCACCCTTGAAAATATCAGAATTTTCCCGCGTGGTGAGTTTATAATCTATATGGAATAACTTTAATTCACTGAATTCCAAATATAAAGGACCACAAAAAAATAACGACAAATTTCATTAAATACGTTATTTTTGTATCAAAGTTTGAAGGTGAGATTTTATTTCTTCCGGGAGAAAAACCGTGATGTCTTTGACACCAAAAATATTACTGAGCTAATAATTAACGTGCACAAAATAAATTATAAATTGCATAATATATACACTATATACACACAAATATAGTTGGATAAAGTGTAAATATAGAAGCGGCTATTTCAATATTTTCTTTTAACATTGACGTTAAGTTACATTTAATATTTTAAGACAAAATCGAAACGACGGTCTACAAGCCTTTAGCGCTATTGTCACGTTTGTGTCTGTTTGAAAAACAGCGAATTTAAAAGTTTAAATTACCATTTGTTTTAACAGCCTAGCACTGCAAATAAATACACCGAATACGCGCTATTATACAATTTAAACAATGGAATTTGAGTGTTGAGGACTATCAGTTACTTCTTAAAAAAAAAAAGGTAAAGATGACAGTTTTTCTGCTCTCTGTTTTGCTAGCAGCAGAAAACGTATTGCACTTTCTTTGAATGTAATGTCACCATGCATCGCTGCATTAGATAAAAGATGACAACGTCAAACACAAATCTCTGATTAACGAGAATCATCTATATGACTTCAACACAGATTAAACTGTTTTATAGGGTAGTATGAATATCGGACTGATACTGATGTATAGCTTTAAGTTACAATCAGCATGTGTCTGATTGTCTTTATAACATAATATAATCCAGTAATCATTCGCTGGAGATAAGGAAGTTGGGGCCTTGTATGGTTGCCACACCAAGCACCGCAATACACTTCTAACTTGACATCATTCTCACATGTAGAATTGTCACCGAAATGCCCACAGAAATATAAATACCAAGGATAACAATGTAACTACGGACAGCGCTTACAAACGCTTAACTCATAACTCTTCAAACGAAGATACATGACATTTCGTGTACGTGTACACTCTTATACGGGCAACAATAAACACGCAAGTAGGCCTATACAGAATTCCAAAAATAAGTGAATAACATTAATAGAGATACTCTTTAACATATACGTTTGGGAAAAGCCAATACCATACAGATTGCATAACAGCTAACAAAGTGACGGTAGTTGAGTTGCATTTTCTAAGCCGATCAATTTAAGTAAGTAAATTTAGTTTTACACAGTTTACCTCACCTATACGAAGACATGATATTTATAAGACACTTCCATATTAAAAAAAAAAAGTTCAACTGGCAAGAAATAACTAAGTTCGACATAACACAAGATCCTCGACATCCAGTACTAACAAAGGGAAGCCACTCCATTAACTCCATTACTCTATCAACGGGTAAAGTTAAGCTTCTTGTAACCGATTGTTTTTCCTTGAAATCTTGACTGAGGAATGTAAATGGAATATCTACTCTGTTACAACAGCAAACTAGGAAAACACCCAAATACAACGATAACATTTTAGGTAACCTCTTTACCCCTCCGCTATTTTTGGTAACCACTCAAGCTTCTAAGTTAATCCAAAGGTAAGCTAAGTTGCACTATTTGGACCAGTTGTCGCTTTATCCTGTGGGTCAACTACAAGGCGGGATAACACCAAATACAATATTTTTGTTTCACTCAAAATGCTGGCTTGAAGTAGGCTGAGTATCACCCGTTGTTAAACGGAGCCCGCATTGCAAGCTTCCCAACAACGTCTGATATAATGTGTGCATGCACCATAAAGTGTGCAAGTGCACCAGCCAATCGGCATAAAGTGTGCAAGTCTTCAGAAGTTGTGACGTCGTTTCGAGCAGAAATTCGGCCTAAGCTGTTGACTGGTCAATAAGTTTTGGCTGCCATGTTTTTATAATATAACAACGGGTTATCGAAACCCGTATATAGGCACCCACTGAATGGTCAGAATCTGGAGGTCCAGGTGCAGACTTGTTTTGCAAATTGATGGCTGAATCTGCACGCATAGGCCTATCGCAATATAGGCGCTTGTTGTGCAATCGGCTATTCCATAGACTAACTTTGAGCGTCAAGTTATATCCAGTGGCGGTAAATAATGGCATGTTCTGCATAATACAAAATATGTAGACAGTTGAAGACAATGTACAAAAGGTCAGATTGCAATAATCATGCTCGAAAAATCTGAATGTACACAAAGATGCAAATGCTTCCATAATGATAAAAGACGTAGTGATGTTGGTATGTTGTTGGTCACGTGTGTTAGAACTATAACTTCCTCGCGTTAATCATTGTTTCGGTAAACATGGTAAGATCAGTTGGAATTCACAGCTAAACTGTGATCAAGAATATTCAATACTTTATAGACCTAAAGGCGACGAAATTGACTAAAAAATGTTCCATCACTCTCATTATGCGTGTTCCATATATATAGTTGAGCTTTTTGGCTTGCTGTTTCGGTCATCAACATTACTTAATAAGGCCCTAAATCAGGGTCATTCTACTTGCAGTTTCTGCTTCGAATACTTCCTGATGATAAACACGAATGACAAACTTTCGCAATTAAAAATGGTTTTAAGTATAGACGCGAGCTTTCGTATATATACCAGGTTTTTCTTCTATCTTCAGGCATCAAAGCACCATAAAACGAAAAACTGTCCCCTTTGGGGTATATACATGTATCGACAATATCAGTGCTTTCTCTTAAATAAATTAAATACTTTAAAATCGTTTTAAACAATGGGGCGAAAAGGTGAGGATTCGGGCGCGAGGTTATTGTACACTGTTATTTATGAAGCGTATTGTCAATCTATTTGAAACTACAGTGCGACGCAGCTGCTGCGCTTTTATTAATTTAGCATTAAATAAAAAGTAAATATTAGGCCAGATTTGGAAGTTATATATTTCGGAATATCTTGAAGAGAGTTTAAAAAAATTGCATAGATCACAATAAAATACCGAAAATACTCCGTCGCTAGCTCAGTTTAATTCCTGTTTGTTTACGAATCCAAGCTGTGTATCTATGGAGGCGTACATAGAAGCCATATTTGTCCTTCCTGTCACACCCCTCCCCCCAACTGACCACTCCCAGTATGTACCATCTGTCAGTGTTCATGTGCTGGACAGCAAACGGGGCCCCGCTGTCCCCTTCACACGAGTCTCCCCTATTAGCAGCACTGTAACCAGCGCAAAACATGTTTGGGGTGACCTCAAAATGCGTGGAACGACGACATACCACCTGGTCTTGAACAGGGAGAGTGACTCTCTTGAGGTGACGAGGATAGTTCTCGTCATGACTAGACACCTTCCCCCAGCCTGATACCGTCCCGTAGGTGCCAGGCCTTAGCATGGACTTGGACAGCGGTTTGACGGGTAAGCAGATTGGTTTCACATAGTCCGTGAATTGGATGGCCTGTGTAAGTTTGACGAGAGCCACATCGGCATCAAACAATTTGGTACTGAATGAACGATGCACCTTGATGTCCTCCACGCGGTAGACCTGCTCTTCCATCTCCGGTAAGCTCTTGTCGTGATCGCCCAGACGGATCATGATGTCATTTTTGGTGGCATTCCGAGCACGGATGCAGTGAGCAGCAGTCAGGATCCAGCGATTGTCCAGGATAGAGCCATGGCAGAAGAGGGTTCCCTTGTCGACGTACCAGAGCTGTGCAAGCCAAGGGGCTGAACCCTTGCGGGCATCTGTGCCAGTTGAGATCTTCTGTACGATGTCTCTGCTTGCGTCATATGGAGCGGGGCGCCCGCAGACTGAAAAATATAAAGAAACACCAGACGTCAACAAAAGGCAAAAGGCATTGTAAGGATTGCAATTTGGATGATATTTTAAGTTTTCAAACTTTTTTCTTGGTGCAGCGTGTTCTCAAAACGGACATCCTGCAACCTGAATTTGAAGCGAGTTGGTACACTTTTAAAGACCTGGGAATTAAAACAACCTCTGAGAAAAACATTTTTAAAGATATTTTTCTGGACAAACGAGATAACCATCTGGACAGAACTTTTTTTCCCACGAAAACTATTTTAATTGTATTTATAAACTTCCATTTTCAAGATAAACCCGTGTAAAATGTCTACAATTAAGTTCCAATGTTCATATACAAGGTCGATTGAATTTAGGGAAATTCCCATTTCAATATCGATGAAACGATTATGAGAAAATGTTTATATTCTGTGCAACATAAAGGTCCCTCAAAACGGTAGATACTTGTAAACAACCATCTTTTCGCGTGCAATTGATGAGAGACTCATGTAAAGCTGATTCAGCTTCCCGTTTAGATTTGGTACATTTCCTGCGTGCTGTAATATTTGATAGCTTACTTGACACACAATATCTGCACATGCATTAATCAATTTCACCGTCTCATCTCACACCTGTTCAGCAGTGATTCAGACAGAGGCCTAATTCCTCAGCCAACAATAAAACAAAAATGAGCAAGCTGTAATAAGTTGACCTAGATTGGTCATTTCTTTGGGTATTTATATTTGAAGTGGGACAACTTCATTATTGAGTGATATTTGCTGGTCCCAGAGGGCCAGCCCTGTGTCCTCTGTGCCTATCCTCACTGACTGACTGACTGACTTGCTCACTGTCACTTTAAAGCCGGGCAGTGCTATCATATAGGATTACCCTGTAACGCCCAAGGATGGGCAAACTCTGGCCCACTGTGTACACCGGATGCATGAATAAAAAGCTTCAGGCTTTACTAGGATTGCCTTGTTTGCTTCAGGAGGCGGCGATGTTCGCTTGAAATGTTCATTAGGCCTAGATGCCCATTATTAAGATGAAACACTCCTTACTAGGCCTGTTATAAACGCCGTGCTACTGCCGTGCCGAACTCAAATGGTTCTAAGCGCCCTGCTAGGCCGGACCAAAGTTTAAACAATCAAATTAATTGAGTTTGGCGGGGCAGCACCGCGCAGAATTAGCTCAGCGTGTAGAACATGTCTTATACGGTATTACAACGTGCATATTTGTCATCATGATTTACTGACAAAGTCAGCTTTAGTCATGTACCTATACTATAGTTGCATAAAACCCAAGGGAGAAGGCTGGTGGAAAAGAATCAGCCTCTTTTTTTCTTCTTCAAGTTTGCTTCGGTTGCTAAAAGGTCAATATCGACCATAAGTTGACCCCAACTTGACGTTTTATCTTTCCAAGAAAGAGGACGTAAGCGTCAAACTCAGTGCCTGTTACCACAACTGAATGACACCCCTTTGAGAGTAAATTAAGAGAATTACCCCAAGAGGTGGGAGGTGGCGGCAGTTTCGAGCCATTATATTTTCGATATCGCGTAACTTCTGATATTGCAAAGCATCCCATAAAGAGTACAACTTTAGGGACAAGACGAATAAGAGTGAAAATCACTCTAGTTTTCGATTGATGTACTGGGGTAATAAACGAATTGCCCCAGTGAAAACTCGAGAGTGAAAACTCTAAACCGTCTTGTCCCAAGTTCACTCGGATGAAAGGAATTTTCTCTCGAATGAGAGTGAGGTTTAAATCTTTGAAAGTCCTATTATTGAGAAAATCCTATTTTGGCGACATTTTGCCGTCTCATGCATGTTTATGTTTATCAATCAGACCAGCCCAAATGTCTTGGTGCTGCCTAACACTCAGCAGAAAAGTTGCACAAACTAAGCAGAAAATAAGTGTACTAACTTTAAGCACTTTTTATGTTTAATGTTGTTGAATGTGCTAACGGTTGCGGGCACATGGAGATTTCTATAGTCACCAATTTTTAAGTAACTTTTTCCTCTGTTGTAAGAGTGCTTTTTGCTGCGCTCACTGCTTACGATCTCTATGAGGTAGACAGAGGCTCTGTTAGCAGAAAATCGGGTGCTAAAACAGCGCCATGAAATTGGGCTCTGGCAGGATCTAACATCGTACAGCCGACTAGCAGAGAATATATACTCAGCAGCAGTTTTTGATTTTCTTTCTAAGCATGTTACAGTCAGCCATCAGAGTCCAGTCACAGGCAATGGGCGTCCCACGCATGCATGAATCCCCCGTGCTAAGCACAATAATTTGTGTACTTAGCAGCATCACGAAATCGACTCTATAATTTTCGTCATACGACTAGTAAAAGAGACGCAGTGTGAGATGATTGTTTTGATTTGTTTTCTCTTCATGAGTTTAAATTCGTTGGAATCTCAAACGTGAGACCACAAACAGTTTCATCATAATCCACTTTCGCCATTTGCTTGAAGACTAGACTAATTACCCATGCATGCACATGTGTGTAGTTTCTTCATCACCCCTACCTGAAAAGGCAAGCCTCATAAAGCTTCCAGACCAGGGTATTAAGTCACAAATGACAGAGAGGAGTCAATTTGGAAAGGCTGGTCCTTTGCAACCAGCAATAATGTCATATTTGTGGTAACTTACTGTCTAGGATTTTTGGTTGGGCATCCACCGAGAAGGCAGCATACGGCCCACGGCCCACCGCGGTGTTGGCGGCCACCAGAAACTTGTAGCGTCTGAGGGCACGTGACTCAGGCAGAACTACGTTGGTGTCACTGGTATGATCACTGTAGCTGACTTGATCCGTTGTCACGTCCAGGAGTATGTAGGTATAGCCGGTGATGATGCCACCTCGATGTCCACACGGGACGGGGTCCCACGAGACACGCAGCTTGGTCCCGTCCACATACTTGGATTGTAGGCCAGTTGGCGCTGCAGAAGGCACTGTGGGTGTACAAGCAATTCATTCAAATCAGTTTCTAGTCGGAGCATGGAGCTATAAGTAAGCCTATACGTCTCAAGTTCGAAGTGATCGTCATTGAGCGACTCAAGCATCCCTTTTATTGGTCTGATTATAAACTTGATTGATAATAAACTCAAATTGCTATACTTAGCAACTTTTGAACAAGTTCAAGCTGCTAAACATATACCCTGTTCGTTCCGCAATGTTTAGTTCAAAGCTTCAATCGGCCTATTGAATGAATTTGTAAATGCAAAATCCTCCTTGTCAATTTGTCATATTTTGTGCTATAAGAATGTGTGAGCCGATCATGTTCAATCTACTGGGTTTTTATTCATTCAATTGATCTGTGATTATACAAATGGGATATTTAGAAGAAACAAAAAGTTTTGAGGGATACGAATGTTTTTGTACCGTATGTAGGGAAACTGAAGATTTGGGAGGGACCTCATTAGTTTTAATTGCTTCTTAGCAGTGTGACTTGACTCGACTTGAAAACGGAAAAAATGGTTTGCGACTTGACTTGACTAAGTTGACTTGTGAAACTTTAACTTGTGACTTGACTTGACTCGTGTCTTGGTTACAACACTGCATCTAAGCTTTTAGTTGAAGACGTTCAATATTAACTGAATTATATTCACTTGACATGTGACAATTTCCTTGAACCTGTGGTGAATAGCGCGATACTTGAAAGGCTTCGTCCGTAAACAATTTTATGTGATACTTTATGACTGACCGGACGATATGGGAAAGTCTTTATATCGAGTGTGATGTAGTTGAACTCGTCAACCATTAGCCTTTGCTCCGAACCCCACAGTGCAGGGTCTCAAAGGCTTCATTATCCAATTACGGTGAGTGAACCCAGGGCGTTAGACCTATTCCACTGGGTTTGGTGTGGTTTATTGATCATTAAACGTGACTGCAAATGGCACACCACTATGTCACAAGTAAAGGTTTATGATACTATTTTGTGTATACCCAGTTGGTATCCAAATTCAAGTCAACCGAATCTAGATAATTATTTATTACCTGATATGGCGGACCTTATCTTACGTCAATTTTGGCTCCCTTATTTTCTGGCAGGAATGAAATGTGTTTCTCGCTTTACTGAGCAATGTGTATGGTTTCTGTTACTCGTCTTTTACTCTAATGACATATATCCAGGAAACAAAGGATATCAACTTGGCTTTGCAATGAGGGATTTCTAACGAAACAGGAAATGTTTTTCGACCTTGATTTGATACCGAGGTGGCGTCAGTCACACTTTAAAAAAAATGCTTAACACGTACTGGCTCGGGTACCAAAAAAATCGTCAAACTTTGAACGATTTTCCCGTGGGTTCCCAGTAAACCTAGAACAACATCTTTGAAGTTATCCGCTTCCATTAACCCATTTTGATTTGGGCTCAAGGGCAAAAATTCTCCCGGCATATCCCAAGAAACTAGCGGGTCAATTTCGGTTAGATGACAAACAAAGCTTAGCACCCAAGTTGGAACACTTTGAATAGACAATTTGAAAGTTTCTTCACCCTAACCCAGACTATAGGCTTCTCAGAACAACCCCGCCAGGCGACACTCACCATCTATGTAGCGTTAATATGACATTGTTATATTTCATGGCATGAAAAATTACGAGCATTTTTCGTCTGGTATTTCCTTAATGTTCGATATGATCGATTGAATGCGCATAAGTATATTATTGTGATCAGACAATGAACTCGAACTGGCAAATAGGCCTATACGTGAAGTTATTCGAAATCGTACCGCGTGTATTCAAATTGAGAACGGTTGATATATTAACTCTCTTTTATTATATTCGCTTTAAATGTTTCATGTGCATTCTCAAGGGTTTTTTAAGGTGAGAACCCTAATGGGTGGTATGGTTTAAATATAGTTTTGACACGAGGGGAAATTGGGGGAAAGTTCTGCGATACAAGTGTTATCATGTATCTTGTTGTTTAGGTCTTTAGGTTGTCTACCAATATCTGGGCGCCGTAAGTCTTGACTGCGCATATGTGGGAAGCAACATTTTAAAGACTGCGACGGATAGTGGTCGGATTAAATAATTTATTAATAGCACTTTGTCGAGTTATACACCGTCTTCAACTATGGCTTAAGACTATAATTATTCTGGCGAAGAACAAGAATTTCTCCTGCCTCAAAATTCCCACCGTCTGGCCCCACATGTCTCGAGATGATTCACCTTTCCTGTATATACATATAGCTGTAATTCAACATCCCTAACTCTCCCTCTCGTGGTTTTCTGAGTTGGTTGTTTTGAATCTTAGAGATGTTGATCAATTGTGTTTGCTTGTCCTTTCATTATATTTTTGTTTGGACACTCACTTGTTATCAGTAACGCTTTTCAAGTGCCGGGGCTTAGGCCGGGCTTAAGGTTCTTTATGAGGGATCACTTTTAATCCACCATGTAAATCTAATTAGGAACTAGGGTCAAAGTGTGAAGGGTAAATAATTGGTCAAAATTAACACCAGAGGTCATTTTATGGATGCAAATTATGACTTTGGGCAACATGCAGTTCAATGCAAAAACATACCCAGTGAAATATTATGGTTGAACTTTCCACTTTTCCTTACCTTCCTCGTTAGTGGTGACATTGTGTCGCCACGCTTGGCTGATCCCGTACCGATTGCGTGACGTGACGTACACCGTGTAGGTTGAGTGTGGCTGCAGGCCGCCTATGGTGAACTGCGTGAGCTCGGTGCTGCCTGCCAACGAGGTGCTGTCTAGTACCTGGGCTTCCCGCTCGCACTGCCCCAGGCTCAGCTGCCTGAATTCGACAATGTAAGAGCTCGGGGAACAGTCTGGGTCATCGGGGCGTCCCCAGGACAGCTTCAACACCTTCCCTGTGCCGTTCTGAGGCCACACGACAGCATTGCTGACCTGAGACGGAGCTGTGGGATTGCCAAAGGAAGTCTGTCATTTCCTTATCTAGTTTAAAGGGGATTATTGTCATCCTCTGGCTTGAGCCCTTAACGCGACGAAAAGTGCATGCTATAGAGTAATTGATAACAGATATGAAATATGGGCTCCTTTAAACACTTTGCAAAACTAAATCTTTTTTTCCTCTCCCTGAAAATGTCGTTTTCTCGAAGAAAATAAGTACACGTGAAATAAAAACGTTTATTCGTCCTTTGTGTTGATTTGGAAACTGTTCAATAACTTGGAGTGCATAGCATGCATTGTAGCACTAGCTTGTCTGGCCCTGTACCCTTCGGCGTCCTGATTTTTGGAGATGCTGAGGGCAGTCCTTTCCACTGCCGGAAAAATGGATTAGACCTATGTCTATGCAGCGTCTGTTTATTGTCACTTTTCACTGCACTTTTCTCACCGGGTGACAATGGTTTTCCTACTTTAAGGGGGCAAAGGCAATTCTAGATCTAGGCTATACTGTGACTCTCAAAATGCCACTGGAATAATTTCATAACATTTCTCAACCACTGATTTCTGTTTGACTTAATTGGCCGTTCTTAAGTATAAGTTCGTTTTAATGCAGGTTATGGGGCAGCCAAAATAGCGACCATAAGAAATTAGAAAGATAGTTCACTCATTAACGAAGCATTTAATTGTGTAGCTAAACATTTCGAGTAGTTTGCCTTATAACTTACCCCCACATGGCGTGATGACAACCAGAGGTTGTGTAGTAGGCCCAACCTCCTCACCTTCTAGTCCAAGCCTGACTCCCTCTACGATGAATTCGTACCTGGTCCTCTCCTTCAAGCCAGTAACGGTATGGCGAGTCTCATAGTTACGGGGTTCAGCCGCTATCTCGTACTGCATGGTAGCATCGTTATCGGCGATACGATACTTGATAATGAAGCGAACGAGAAAGAGACTCTCGCCGTCAATCTCCCGGTACCAGTCCGACCAATCGAGGGTCACGCTCCCATCGCTGACATCGGTAGCAATCGGCTTGACTCCACTCGCCTGCTCCGAGCCCATGTTGAGAGCTGTAAAACGAACACAGTAGATGTAAACTAAGAACGGGATGAGCTTGTCCATGCTATGGCCAGGCATCAGCTCGGATCGTTCCAAGCAAGATGGCTGCGCCGGGCCACTCGCATCGGGCACTCGGGAAAACCCTGGAATCAACATTTTGAAGTTGGTGCCTTTCACTGCGTCAATGAAACAATTGACAAAACACACAGCAGCTCGGTTATGCAAATAAGCTTAGAGTGACGTTACTTAATTCATGAAGAAGTTGGGCCGTTGGAAGTTTGCAACTCTTAAGTAAACGTCACTAGAGACTGGCACATGAACGTGAGTGAGGCTTGCCTGACTATCGATCAACTCGGACAGCCAAAGCACAGCGAGCGTAAGCTTACGTGGCACGTATAAAGCGGAGATGATTAGTCACACTAGTCAAGTCAGTTCCAGAGTTACCCCTGACAAAAGTTCATATTATTAGCAAGGGTGTCCCACCCGATGAGTCTGCCCAGGCTAAGTTCCTTTGCGGTCCGTCCCTCATACTGCCCCAACCCGGTCAAGTTGTCTGCCGGTATGGGAAGCACACGTCATCATTCATCCATCATTATGCCCTTGACAAGCCTTTATGGTATTATTACATAAAATAAATGCTGGTTAGAAAGTAATACCAATGGATAAATGGCGTGATCTATAAAATAGCGCTGTGTGATTATGGAACATCTATTAAACTGGTATAACAACTGCCTCAAAGAGTATCTGGGTGTTTACTGCTATATTATAAACAAAAGAGATTTCGTACTGACATTCTGTACATACCACGACCTGGAGCAGCAACGGCAAAGTCTCATTAGCAATTATGAATAATTAGTGTCAGTGACAAAATGAGACACAGTTGTGCCGTTTTGAAGTCATTTTCGTATTTAAAGCGTTTAAGTTGTGTTTACCATTGTCCAATAATTATTTTACAAAAACTTCAAGCAGGATTGGCAAGCTGAAGAATAATAGAATTTTATTCATGCAACAATATATGGGCATGCCGTTTAAGGAGAGTGTCTTAAACATGCAGTAAAAAGCAAGCAAGGTGTAGGCTACATATCGTTATTTACTCTTATCTACATCAAGTATTTAATGTGGTGATGATACATAATGGCAATTTCCCGTAATAGAAGTGACGGCTACACGGTCCATGAACTTGGAATTATCCCAACTTCCCGATTAATCCTTCACTATGCAGCTTCATCAGTTTAATGTGTGTAGTGAGTTACAGTTGAGCAGCCGGGATATATTAAGATGCACAGGACAGCGGGGAACTTCCAAAATAACTTCCCTTCTAGTGTCTATCTCAGATCAGAGCAGATAGACTGTGTATGTCTGAGCTGCTACTTTCCCTCCGCCTGCTGCATTATGTGCCCTTGAATGTTGCGTATTCCTGTGTATCTTACTCAGCATCCATCCAATCAGCAATGCAGAATTAAAGAGCCCTTCTGAACAACTTGAGCTTCAGAGAATCGCTCAAAAAGGCCATGAACTGTGTCTGGTCTGTCCAAACGAAAAGATTGTTGATTATGACAACTTCTTAATACAATCGTTTCAAACTTTCTGAGCGTCCAGGGCCTCTTTGGACAAGTATGGTGTGACCGGCACTGGACACTTCGGTTAGCATTAGTGAGCGCATCAAAAGGAAACATATTTGGCTAAAGCACTATGTAAGCAGCATTCATCCATGATCTAACCATGGAGTCAATTAATAACTGAGTTGATAATGTAGCTCCAGAGCTAAGTTATTACACTTTGGCGGGCCGCTTTGGCCATATATCATGTTGAATAATGTCCATGTTTTGACGGCCTGCCATAAAGTTCTAGTTTTACATGCACATCTGCACTATTCCGCTACTGTGTTTCAAAGCGTGTTTCAAAGTCGAAAGGTTAGCGGTCCCCCTTGGAGACGAGCAAGGTGTTTATTTTTGATACAGCTGCAGCTATGTCATATTATACACACGTGCGTGGAAGTAGACCACGGCAAAGCTTTTGTTAATAAGCAAAATAAAAGAATTTAACATGGATGCTAAATCATGCATCATGCCAGCATACAGCTTCTCGGATGCATGATCACCTTGCTTCAATGGGAAGAGCTCAGTGGTTTCAGAGGCGCATCTGACCCAGGCAACCTCGAACGGGTTACACCAGTCATCTCCGGACGACACGTAGTCATCGCACTCCGTATTCTCCCCTTCTCTCCCAACGCAAGCCACCAGATCCACAAGGACCGGCTCTGAAAGCAAAGCCTCGGGTGTGGGTTGGGTTCGCGCTTCCACCGCCCCGCCGATATGTCCAAGCTGTCGGCATACCATGTGCGCAGCCTCCTTTGTCCAGTTTTGACCACACACCATCCTCCATTCATCATAGATGAAGGTTTCGACCACGCCCTCCATATCAGTGGTGCCATCGACGAGCCTTAGTCGCCCTATGGAGTGTTACCATATTTCATACGTTTGAATTTTACTTACAAAAAAGAACGGAAAATTGAGGTACCTTTTAGGAATAACAGTTTCAAAATATGGTTAAAAATTTGATTTGCGATAACGCTATCTATGGATCTCAATCATCTCAATTTCTTTTAAAATAGAGTCTACTATAATATGACGGACTTAAACAAATGTAAACTCCCAAATATTCTGACCATTTGAATACAGAACTTTTAATGTGACAGTTTTTAATTCTGTTTGCCAAGCTTTGAAACACTTAGGCCTAGCAGGCGCTTTCCGACGCTCTTTTTTAACCGGACCTTGAAATGCATCAGGGAATTGTTGTCTGCCCGAAATTGCTATTAATGAACACCGCCCTCTGTTGGTGATGACACACCGCATTATTTGAAGTAGTGCAACGTTTAGAAGCTTTAACAAGACTTCTAAGTTAAAATAAGAAAGATTGATTGATCTCGTGAAATAGGTGATTCAATGAATTTTTCACAATGGGCAATCATGGAATGATAAGCACTAATCGATAAGCATTAAATTGACAGACGCAGTTTTTCCCAGTCCTTGGGACCAACATGTAATGGGTGTCACAACATAGCATCACATCACGCATACTGCCGGCTGCTGAACGTTTACTTGAAATATCAACATTTTTACAACCATCAGGCTTAACTTTAATCGGGATAAGGTCCCAACACGACCCTTGAACATGGGACGTGTGGTTCTAGATACCACCCAGAATTTATCCAAACAGTGTCAGGGGTATTGATGTTCGGTCTGGACCCCTGCCTGTCAATGTCACGCATCACGTATATGCCAATGATTAGAAACAAAGACAATGAGAAACAACCGCCATAATCTAAGTCTGCTATGGGTTCACACACCTGTATAGGCCAAAACCCATCTGCCGAGCTCATGAATCAAAGTTATATCCTCAAATATATTCTATATTAGAGAGTTCTGAGAGCCATAAAATTGGGGAAATGAAGATATATGGCAATGAACCTCTAGCCCGGGCTTGGGGCTTCCAATTCTGAGTATTTTGAATGCAATTGGACTCGAAAGTAGCGTTATTTTGCCATGTTGTGGAGTGATCGTTTTCAAGATGGCTACTTTTCCGCTTATGGGAAAATAGGGGTCGTCTTCTTTGGGTGAAAATTTCTCGAAACGTCAATGTTCAACCCACGAAAAAATGAGAAGAAAATGAAAGATGACATGTCGATCATCATTTTTCTTTGCAGCTAATACCTGTGAGAATTCTGAGTTGTTTTGTTTTTTAATTTTGAAGTATGGGCGTTTAGCAATGGTGTCTATGGGAATTCGAATACAGGGGTGCATCCCTATAGCGTCACAGCCACAAACCTGAAAATGCTTCATGAAAGTGATCGGTTGAACAGAATTGTTTCCCTTTATGAATTACATCCCGCGCGCCTGACCTGGCCTTCGTTAGCACCCCGCACAAATACATCAAGAATTCAGATGCACATATCAAATTTAGCTCTACGGTAGTGTTTGTGTGAAAACGCAGCTTGATTCCCCCCTGGTGGTTGAGGTATTTTTACCCAAAGTGCCCGAAACCAAACATATTTTCAGCCTGAATTATATTTTGTTTATTTGTGCACCTTTCGCCCTAAAGCTATAAGACGTTTCAGATGTCCTTACAGAAACCATCATTTATCTTGACTGCATTCGGACATTTCTTAGTATATGGCTTCCATCTCAAGACACAAGCAAGCTCACGTGAAACAACGGAAATAATGGATCACTTACAGGAATTTCAAGTATGAAACTTGTCTCATGACCTCGGTTCAAATCTCACAGGGACAACTCCTAATATTGGCCATGGGTCGTAGTTTACAAATACTAGGAATGATGGTGTACAAAGTCATGCTTCACTTGGCTGAGTCCTTGTCCAAAAAAAACCCTTTTTTAATGTTCCACTCTTTTGCATGTGTGAAAACAATTGAATCATTAAGCTTTGGGGATTCCATGTAAAATGTATTCATAAGCTATAAACCACTGCTTGTATTACTTTCATTTCAAACGTATTATGATATAAAAGCCGTAGGCTGTAGGTGAAAATGCTGGACCGGATTTGAGAAAAACAAATGCTATTTTGTTGGTATGACATCATGAGAAGTTATCCTACACTCAATTAAAATTCTAGGCAAATCTGTGGAGGATGTGTTCCCGCCAAAAACATTATCCGTCTCAGGTACGTGACTACCCCATCCCCAATATCAGTTATTTCGTATTTAAAACTCTCCGGAAAATCTGGTTCACTATTATTTATTGATTTTCCGGTGCAAGTTCCAATGAACGGCCTTCGATTATACGAGGATTATGGCGGCTACGTGCCATTATTGTCGGCCGGTGTTCTGAACTTGCATACTTGAAGAAATTGTATGTCGCCACAAACGCTTTGATATAATTTATGGAGCGACTGAAAACATTAGCTTCATCCATCGCATTGCGCAGACATTTCTAAAAAAAACACAACAACAACAATCGCAGAGCTTGGAGGCTTTTGTAGCTAAGACTATAAATGCGCCCAGAAAAACACAGAGCAGCAACATATGCGGCACTTAGTTGTGTAGGCGTGGCCAATTGAAGCACATTAATTTTTTATTCCGTTACACCTCTGAAAGACTGGTTTTTAATGTTCCCAAACAAATCATTTTGCAGCTGCGAAACTCACGGAAGTCTGAAAAACGTGCAATGATTGATTGTACTTCGCTTGAGAAAATATTAACAACTTGGTTAGCTGTATAGTGATGAGGATTCAAAGACATTTTAGCTTGTATTCTCCGCGGTTTAATACAGCGATCTAAAAAAACTGTCTTTTCTGCTTTTAAAAAGTCCATATACTTCCCAACTAAGCAACCAAAAGCAATCGGATTACTTACTGAGAATGGATATTTTTGTTGCCTTTGTGACTGATTCAGTCAGTCACCATGCAACTGGCATATATGGTGTATCTCCTTATTCAATCTCTATTTTCTATGCTGATCTTTAGTTCTTATTCTCCGCATCCTATACGTTTAGGCCTACCCGGGCACAGCTCCAAATGTATTAGTACTAGTAGCAACTGCTGTCAGTGCTACTGAAAAGGAGTGGGCCTTACCTTTGTAAAAAAAAAAAAAAAATCAGAAGCCGCCGTCAATTGACAACAGAATCCACTGCAAATATTGTATAAAAAATAACCTCTAGTCCCCAATATCAATCAACGTTTTTCCGCCTCGGGAATATATTTGAACCAGTATTTGTGGGAATTTTACACAAGTCTTTGGGTATTTTGTAAAAAAAAAAAGATGATTAATCGTTATGCATTTCCATCAAAGTTACTTGTTCAAAATCTAGACAGGTATTGTGAAACTATTCAAAAGATGAAATTTGAATCGGATGATGTAAATTCAATAATAGGTTTTGCCCTTCACCGACATAAACACTGTATACTCAGTGTGTTACCCCCCCCCCCCCCCTGAAAGTAAAGAAAAGGGTACTGTGAACGTTGTACAGGTATTACATGCCCAGACCATTTTGTATGGTCCTTTGATAGTTTGATGAGTAACTGAGCGTGACAGCGCGGCAGCTTTTAGAATTGCGTTAAACCACAAAGCAAATATATCCTCTCGGAGGGGAGGGGGGATACTTTGAGGTTGTTGGTTACCCTAAACCACAAATATGTTGACTTTATAACGCTAACTCCAACTAACTGAGGACACAGCTGCAGTAGGATTACCGTAAATGAAAGGCAGCTTAATATATTCTACGATACTTTCTAGAAGGTGGTAAAAAAAAAATAAAGTCGTTAACATGTATTTACATGTATTTCAAATATACATGTATTTCCTACCAGATGCAACCAGATATGAGAACGGTGCCTTTTGGCTATTGCTCAAATATCTGTAGGCCTACATGTGAAATAAATTGCTGTCTTCCGAATCATTTCCTTTCACTGTCGCCCAAAAGAAATTCTACTCAAAAGTGTCAGCTGCGTCTATAGTTTGACACTAACAAGACGGGAGTAAATCTTTCAAAGGATGGAATCTACGCGACGCTGCGTGAGCTATCCAGAATTTTGATTGTAATGTGCAAGGGTTAAGCCGATGTCAATTTCCACAATATTCCCGTCGAGACAAGCTGCAACAGGGGGAAAAACAGTTGAGCGTGCATGGTCTGTATGACAATGTTCCCCGGGAGATTTAGCAACAATCTCCCCGCATGACGGCGCAGTGTAAACGTGGGCAAGTTCATTGCGAGGTGAGGATCACTGATCCCAAAGCTGTATCACAGTTTTTTTGTAATGCTACCAAAGTTTACAACAGACTTGCTTTTATTGGGGATGATTGAACACAGTGTGAAACCCAGTAACACTGAGTGGTAAACAGAAGGGCAGCTTGCTGTATATGCATGATGTGAACTACCTCAACTGCTGTGAACATTTCCCATGCGTTGGCGTTTTTTTTAATTCTTAATAATTTCATAGCAAATGTGCATACCAGACAACAACTGGTACGGGATATATACAAGGCCTACGGTAGCCCAAGTCGTCTCTCATCAACTGTAACCTAACTGTTAGATTTCTAATCAATCAATCAATCAATAAATCAATTCACATCCAACAAATTCTAATATCTAATATAAAATAAAAACTTTCACTTTCGCGATGAGATTGAAAACTGCCCTCTTTAAAAGTGAAAAATGACTGAAAATGACCTTGAGAACCGACGTGCTGCCCAGGCCGTCACTGCCTGCGATAAACACAACTTTAGAACTCTGAACTCCCATTATCCTAATCCAACTTTGCCTAAAATGGTGGTTTCACAATAACTCTTGAATGACGACATTTCGAAACTGAAATTATGTGCAACAATCCCACAGTAATCGTGCTACGAGCTGTAAGAGTCATGGGTTCTTGTCTTATATTATAGGTGACGTGACACAGTAATCCTGAATACAGATGACCATTATTGGAACTAAGATAGTTAGTGCAATTAGTTAATGGCCCTCTGTCCATTCCAGATATTGCGAGGAAAAGCAGCTTATTTTGTCACCGTTTGATCGAATCCAGAGCCCAGGTTTGCACCATGACTATATGGCATGAGGGCAAAACAAGGCAAGCTAAAAACACTGGACGTTTTGAGAAAACTACTGACCATTGTTGTTTTAAAAATCTAAACACTTTCAATCGCTTGCATATATGCAAATAAGGCCTTGCGAAACTGGAGTTTGGGCAATCACCGCCAGGCCTAGTGTAGAACGGTACCGATACCATTTTCCAAGTTTCCATCGTCATGTTTTACACACTGTACAGTGCCGCACATCGCACTTGTTTGCACGCACCATCAAACATCATTCATGACCATGTCGAGCATACAACAAAGCAGCATTTTTTCCCTTGCCTGGCTCATAATTTTTCGTAACGAGGGTTCAGTTATTGTTGTTGCAATTCTACAAACAAGGTCACACACACAGAAATATGAGATGCTATACGAAGGTGGTCCACACGTCCCTGAGTAACTCGATAGTGGTTAACAGTTACATTCTATACCGGTATATATTATGGAACAAATGACCACTCCCAACAAATTTACCGTGCAACTTTGATTAGTTAAAAAAAAAAGCCACATTGAAGTCTAGCGTTCCACAATTAATTCTCACTGTTGAGTGGCTCAAGACAATTTTTTTACTCGAAATTTCATCAGCAACTACGTAACTTAAGACCGGACAGCAAAGCTCTACCAAGTGATATGCCTCATACAGCTGAAGAGCTGGACAAAAAGTCAGAAAAAATCGCTCCTCATCGCGCCTGGCTTGTCACTGACACTGGTCTCTGTAATCGGATGGGAGTATCGTCGACAGACGACATGTAAAGGATCTCTCAAAGCGGTGTGGATTAAATGTCTGACATGTAAGCAATAATCGACAAATCTCCTCTGTGACTCCAAGCAGAAATAACACACAGATACAGAAACCATTGTCTTTTTTTGGCAAAGCCCTACGAGTCGTAAAGGTTTACTGCGACTAAAAGGTTAATGACCTAGGCCTATACTTTTTCCCCAACAAGTGACTAATAAAGCTTCATGTGAAATTCCATAAAACTGTTAACTTGGCATGTACGAAACACCTTCCTACCGCATTCTCTCAAACCCATGAAGATCACGCTTTCGGAAAATGAAAAAACAAATCTCCAATTCCCGATCCCACCCCATCCCCACTCGATGGAATAAAGGAACTGTCTCAGTTTATTCCGGATGTTTTCAACTGATGGATTGATTTTTCACTTAAATCAGATTAAGAGTTAACGGAGATTTAGACACCATGAATTGGCCCTTTCAATTCAATTCTGGCCACACAGATTTTTCAGTAGCTGACGGAATATGAGTAGGAAACCCGGCCCGTATGGCGAGTGCTAGGTTCCCTAACTGGACAAAATTATGGTGGAGTTTCTCCTGTTTTTTTACCAACAAGTAATGTCATGTTTCAATTTTCAATTCGCTTTTACTAAAAAAAAAAAAAAAGGTGTATAGTCTGCACAATGGTCTGTAGCGATTCACAAGCGTGTTTTCTAAAAAGACTCAAACTATTCAGACTCTTTCGTCTTCAAGGACTGATTCCATCCTTATATACGATCGGCTCTCATCAGATGCCAGTCCGATCAGGGGCGGAAGGGTTCCTATTTCTGCGGCCCATGGGTGGGTATAGACCCCTAACGCCCGAGCCAGCTCCACCACCGTTCATCCGCGACTGGTGGTTCCAACAAAAAAAAGAACTTAGACCTGGTTATACTTTATCCCTTTTCAACGAAGCTAAACTTTTTGATTTATTGGGGAGTCAGGTTGGTGCAGAGGACCTCTCCCAGCAAAGATTTGACTGCCGCCCAGGTCAACATGTTGATTTTGTTTCCGGTGCTTATACCTGATGCCGTGGGTTTTCCCTCTCAATTTATTATCTTCTGGTGTTTCCTCCCACCTCTAAAACTGAACATTTTTGTTTATTGTCTTATCTTTTCAAATCAGTTTTCCAGGTTTGCGAGCTACAGTTCCTATAGTGCACTCAAGAGGAGTCCTTGGTTTCATTACCAAAAATAAAATATTGTGTCGATTGTCGATTCAGCTCAAAGCACATGAGCGTATTTGATACTGACGTTGATATTTTATATATTTTATTATATGTGATTTTTGAGTGGGTCTGTCGCCGAGGTCATGGGTAATGCTGTCCATGATTCATGTGGTTCTAGAGGGAAGACTATAACATGACATCTTTTGCCCAAGCCATCACTGAATGACAAGCGTCTTATGGGGAGAACTAAGAAGGATGATGTCTTCGAAATGACATGACAGGAAGGGGGACTTCGTCATTTCCGTCAGGTGCTCTTGAGACATTAAAAATGGCATGTGTGACAGATAATAGGCTGTAGTATTCAAGTTCGTACAAATAAAACAAGTGTGTGGGTAATTTCAAACATCGTCTTGTATTTTTTTAGGCGATAAATTTGACCCTGATAATTTAGAACTACGTGCAGGCACGTCTGTGCAAAATCGTGTTGCAAAATGCAGTGATAGTCAGTCCATCGCAAGTCCATCAGAAGCCTGGCCACAACTAAAACACACGTTCTTTCACAATGTTCAGGGGATCAACAATTAAGGAATACTTTTGCAGCAGTTCATCATCATCTTGTGACTTAATTTGAGACTGGGGGACTTGTGATGGACTTGTAATGAACTCTCGCATTTAGATACGGCTATTTACGACACAACCTCTACAATCAAGATATCAGATAAGTTAAAATATGTCGGTCCAAAAAGATGAGCAACTTCGCATCATGACTAAGCTTAAACTAACAGTTGATTAGACATTCGTTACCTCCACAAACTTCTGTGCAAATTATCCATGCTCTGTATTTGCATACAACGTACTTTTAACATATATACTGCGGACCAACAAAAGCTTTATGATCGTCAAATAGGCCTATAATATACCAGTACCACTGCGCGATTATATTTCGACATCTGATGCTGTACGTGCACCCAACGCTGTGAGCAGAACCACCATGCATCGTTTAGGTTTTTCACTGTGTATTTGGCAGGTGGTGGGAAGTACGAATTCTGGCTATGCTTGTTAGAGGTACATGGCTCTTTTTTGGTTGACAGAATATGGGACTATAATATATGACAAATAAACACGACAATGGTATATTATTGACTCAACAGACTCAAGGCCGCTCTTTGTTGGTGTCTGCCGCGTAGAATCAAGCGCCTGCCCTTCATGGCTAGCCGCGCTGCACATTCGGTATTATTGACTGAGAATGTTCTCCTAATGAGGCATTTTGTTCCTTGGCTTATAGCATGCCACTCTATTCAATCGGTGAAAATATTGATTCATAAAACCAGCTTATATAGGCTAGGTTTAAACAGAGCCGCAAATCTTGTAAATATTTAATTTGGTTAAGTCACGCGGCGACCCATGTGTTTGTACACGCACGTAGGCCTGCGTGATTGGGGATCCCCCAACCCAACAGTCCAATCAAGGAGCAAGGAGCTTCCCCAGCTGAATGTCACAATTTCATAAACCATCAATCCCGTAGATAGGTTGGAGATTAAACTCCAAATCACATAATTTCCAAGGTGCACGCGTCAAAACATTTACTATATGATAAAGATTACCCACACAACTAATACTCACAACTTTTTATTACAGTTGACTATCGAGTTTTATGGAGGTCAAAGTCGAGAAGAATCATGTACGGTTGTCCCTAACTATGATCGAACGATACAAATACAACGTTGACTGTATTGTCTGGAAGTTATCTTGAACATCATGTCCATCATCTTTACTACTATCAAACATCAAACACATGGATGATAAAGTGAGATAATGTTGATATTGCCATTCTTACTACTGATGCGACCAAATGTATCGTTTGAGATGAGGAAAACCTACGCATTACACTATGCTCAACTGAGAAACGCTGGGTATCGCGTGAGCCGCGAAGATTACCCCCATACATTCCTGACATGCTCATAATTTCACGCTATCCTGATTATTATTGTACCCGATATACTAGCTCATATAAAATGTAATAAACATGATAAGCATGACTAGCGCTCTCACTTTAGTCCAGCAAAAAAGAACAATTATTAGTGGTTTACTTCGTAAGTTCTGGGGTTCTGTGACCTGTAATAGTACCAGACAAGAAAGCTATACTCAACTGTCACCCCGGCTTAGCTTATTCCATCGTTGATGCATTAACGTAAAACTGGCTAATCCGTTGCGATGGTCACAAGGGGATTGTAATAACTGCGAAACGATGGGAGATCTACTTGGTTAACCAAATCAATATTTGGACAGCTTTCAGAAGTCCAAACCGTGCTATGTGACAATCTCGAAAACTGACAAAAAAATGTTTGCGAAGTAAAGCTCCAGTGCAGTGTGCAAAGAACGAGTGAATGGGGAGCAATACCGAGGAAAAACTCCTCACCAATCTTCAAACGCAAGGGACTTTTTGGAACCTAAAAGTTTTGGTACAAAGAAAAATCAACCTTCAAGTACTCACCTGCCAATGAAGGCCAGCCGTCAATGCTAAAGGCCACATTCGTGACGCATGTACAAGCCAAGAACACCAGCACAACAGCCAACCACCAAGTCCGCGCCAAACCCATTGCCGCAGTCATCTCCCCGCCGGCCTGTAATTGCTCGATGGATCAACCGCACGGAAATCCTCACGTCTCCTCTAAATAATTCAACGGTGCCCTTTATCAGTCAATAAAGTCACCGTTCCGATACAATGTTTGTCCAAAGCTCAGGCTAAAAAGCTAACTTTGCCTGAGGTGCTTTGTTAAGACTTGTGTGTAATGGTCCTTCAAGTGAACGGAATACCGTAAAAGGTCTTATCCTCTTAAACAGTGTGCTCTAACCGAATCACCACATATAACTTAATGCCAACTTTTGTACACGATTTGAACTCGTGCAATGCAATAACTGTTTTTTTTTTATCCAGTCATTTCAAGCGAACAGCGATCATTCACGTTGATCCAGTTATGAATGAGGTGACACAGGTAGTTGGTAGGTTTATATAGGCACGGCAGTGGTATATGACCACGCATGAGCGGTCGGTACTTGTATTGATATGTACACTCATTGTACCTACAATATCGTAGACCACGTGCTTTGGTGGTAGTGGGATTCCCTGCTGCCTTATTTGTCATCGTCAGCGTCAGTCACTGGTCTGGTCACGGACCCTGGACTCATCCACTTCCACATGAATGACATCACCAACCGAAAAACAAATTCCGGGAGTATAGGTTATGTTCCAATGCTCATAGTCTTACTGGTATTGCTAATTCGATGATTGTATTGTTGTTTACCGCCAAAAATCAACCCTGTCCGAACGCGGAAGTCGGGAACCATAATCCGGTATTGCGCCAGACAAGACTGACTTGGGCCAACCTTGACTTAAAATATCGTAGTGCTAAATATAGAACACATATATATACAGCCTTTTCACTGGATTAAAGATTAACACAATCATAGCCCAATTGTATTTTTGCAACTTTTATGCTTAAGGTATGACCATTCAGTTAAGGAGAAAAAAAATCAAACTTAACAAGAGGACGGTCCTGATACACATCCTGTGTTTTAATATTGTCTTGCACTGAGCAATATACTCTTACAATAATACATGTATACATTTATACATGCTGTGAATCTGAACAGTGTGTTTTGTATTCCAAATGAGAATCTCTAAGGACTTTGTTTTTCTTGCTCAAATTCGTCAGAAATACATTCAAATTCAAGCGATTTTGACCATGCTGTAATTCTTTGGCGCATTGATTTTCATCATGGCGTTCAGTTTCGTTTATAGATATTCAAATTTGTTTGCCGACACATCCAATTTAGAAGTTGTGTCACATAATTACATAGCAACCAATCGTCATTCAGCATGGCACACCTCGATCTACTGAGGTTTCTGCCTTCAATTCTCACTTTCCTTTCCATTTATGGGAAAGCAATATCACCACTTTGTGCATTAATAGCTGCATGCACATAAATGAACAAAAAGAAACTAAAAGTAACGGATAAAATAAAAACAAAGGCTTTCATTAGGACAGCTGCACGTTCCATGTTTAGTTTCTTTTTTTTTCCATTTCAAGGTGTCATTTATTTTCTTCGGCATCTATTCTTTCATCATTTCTCTATATTCCTTCTGACCTTAATATGAACTTCTTACAATTCTTACACAAACAAATCTTAATCCATATTTCAAGTATGTAGACCTATTATCTTCTTGGAATTATAAATATATTTCTTGCAATTTTCTGTGATTGTTCTCCACATATGATGTAAGTAGTGAATTCCAATGCCAAAATGTCGAAAATGTTTGCCCTTTTATGAATTTAGTTGACCATCTGTTCTTGGTCCATGCCTTGAATGCTCTCCGTACTCTTAAATTTCATGTGATTGCCGCATTTTCCCGATCGCGTGCTCGAAAACAAAAATGAAAGGTTCGTTTTCGTTCACTGAACGATAATCTTAAACTGAATTCAAATTCCCACTAAATGTGAATGATTCTGGAGCTAATTTGGGTGACAATTTGCTTAAGTTGAACGGGAAAATCTTTACTATGGACTCACTGTGATATTATATAACATCATTGTATGATAGCAAGCAAGCAAAGGCAGGGTTACAATTTGTTGTTTTACGAATTGTGACAATGGACTCAACCATCATCATGAAATTTGGTTGTGCCTACACGAGAAGTAACATCCATGGCTTTATGTACAATGTAGGCCTATATAGTCTAATTTTTACTGGACAAAAAAGACAAAGCACATGGCAAATCTTTCTTACACACATTAAGCCTATTATCAACTAGCATCTACTTAGGCCTACAGGAATTTCCCGAAAACTACATCTTAATAGTTATGCTGTACACAAAATGCGTGACCTCTCAAAACGAAAGAAAAAATCACTCATAAGGCCTATACACTTGTATTCGATCTCATTTTTCTTATCGGTTCGTGAAATATACCGGGGGACTTCCCAATTTTATTTCATACAAGGGGGGGGGGCTCGTCATTCATGGATTATTTTGGAGCCTCTGTGTTTCCTTGTAAGTGTTCTGAATTATATAGGCAGAAAACATTTCGAAATCCCATTTACTCTTTCAATCGCCGAATCACATGATTCCTCCATAGAAAGCAATTTATATATCATCAGGCTTCACTTGCAGTTGAAGTTAGCTTTGTGCTAACAAGACAGTTCAAACACTCTGTGCACTAACACATAAGCTCAGTACATGTCTTGCTCAATCCCTCACGCTCTATATTTAACAAGACAGAGCACGCATGCACAATTTTATTCAATTGAATGTCAAAAAGTTGGTATAATACGCTCAAGTGGTTAAACGTGATGAAAATGAAAAATTCTCTTTAGCCGTTTGCATGCATTGACTATTGCCTTCACATGTACCATTAAGGTACATGAAACAAGCGGTACCTGACTAGTGCAAGCCACAAATGACAGTGGGTCGATGCAAAGAGGTAAAACAGTTGGTGACTGCTCTATGTTCCGACACCCCTATGTTCCGACAACCTAGATTGTGTTACTCCCGGTTAGGGTTAGGGTTAGGGTTAGGGTTAGGAATAGGAATATGTGCAGTCGGAACATAGGGGTGTCGGAACATAGAGGTGTAACCAAACAGTTTAAATCAAAAGTTACAGTTATAGTCAGCGAGTCAGTGCGTCAGTTTTGCACATCTCTATCTCTATCCATATGGTCTTTGTGTTTGTAACCTTTGTATGTCGTTCTTCTTAACATGAGGCTTTTCCTTAACCTTTTTACATATAAGCTGTTTGCATTTGGAATGGTTTGTCAGGTTTGACATTTCTCACGTATCCGAGCACATCTCCCGTACCCATGTTTGATCGTCTCGGTCTATGGATCCCCTCCCCATGGGCGTCGCGAGGGGGGGGGGGGGGGGCGGGGGGGGGGTCCTTGCACCCCCCCCCCGAAAACGAAAAAAAGGGAAAAGAAAAAAAGGAGGTGCGAAGCCACATTTCTGTTAATTTGATGGGGTGGGTTAGGGCAAATGCTCCCCTGCTTACGCTCGGAAAAATGATAAATTGAAAATATAATGAAAAAGTTAAGTTATTTTGGGGGGAAATTTGCTTTGCCCCCCCCCCCCCCCGGACGACGTCCTGGCGACGCCCATGCCCCTCCCCATACTCCATGAATTTTGACAGCATCTATGCCCTTCACCTGTTAGACTTCAGTTTAGAGACATTCTTGCCACCCATTCGATAGACCCTGGGGTGACATGAGGATTGCTCTATAGTGGTCGAGTGATCCCATCTACGAAAATAACCCCTTGCCATGAAACACCATCTAGAAAAAATAAACACAAAACGAAAGGTTGTTTGGGTGGCAGTAGGTCAAGTCAAGTTGCCATTGCATAGAAAACAAGACACGCTGTATCCTAATTTGTGTGGAAAAAATCATAATAGTTTGCTTCGACTAAGTCACATGATTGTGGTGATGGTTGGAAAAACACTAAATATTGAGCAATTTGAATTTTGCGTTGTCACTGAAAATGAAAAGTACTGATGAGAAGAGAATTGCATACATGAGGACGTGAAGACTTCGAATGGGAAAATTTATGCTAAATTCTATTATGAAAATTAACCATGTGGTGGGGAACTTACAAAACCGAGACAGGGCTAACCTAGAATACTTTGCTCCGCCACAATTTCCTGGTAATTCCCTCCCCCCCCCCCCAAAAAAAAAAAAATTAAAATAAAAAATAAAAAATAAAACAATTAAATAAAATTAAAAATCATTGAAAACGTGAGTGTACAAATTACCTTGGTCCTTGAAATTATGATGCATTTTGCTTGTAAATTTGAACGTTGATTTGCAGATTGAAAATTGTTATATTAAAGAAAAAGAATCACCACAGAATCACCCACATGGTATGATTTCGAAACTCCAGCAGTGCTACAGTGCTATATGACACATTGTCCCCAGTTATGTCGAATAGCTGCAAACCGAGAAACAGTTATGTATCACCATCGATGTTTTAAGACCAATATGGCCAAAAAATACTTCTGCTTCCGGTTTCCCTACCTACCCTATTCTGACAGCCCTACCCTAATTTTTTTAATGGAAAATATGAGGGGAAAAAATGAAAACCATCAATTTCTACGTTTTACCCTTGACAACACGTAGACGCCTCCATATGATCGTGCGGAAAAAAAAGTGTGCAAAAAAATCTCTACCAACCTACCCTATTTTCAAATGCCATGTAATCGGAAACAGAACTTTTTGGGGGCCTAATAAGTCCAAAATCGTCCCTTATGATAGCAAATGATCTTAGGAGGGCCAAGGTCACACGTGACATGTGTTTTGCAGAAAAAAAAACTTTCTATCGTCGTGTTATTAGACACCCTCCGAAGCCAACCGTTATTTCACAAGTTTTCAAACGAACAAATAAAAGTGTCTTCTGTAGTGTGTATAATAAATATATTTCATTTGATGGGATATTACCTGGCACGGAACCAGACTACGACTCACCGGGACTGTCTCTCTGGAATATTCTACAGGTTGTGATCACCGGAAAGGCATGGCCAGACCTGGACAGACAGGCAAAATGACTTAGTAGTTTTAAACCAAAGTCAACTTCCAGTTACTCATGGTTCTGTGTTCCTTAGAAACTGTTGATTGTTATAATCGTGACTTGTAAATATTTATACTGGTAGTTCATTATCACACAATTTCAATCAAGTAAAATTTATCAGACACCGCATCCATTTAATGAGGTCACTCTCCGCAAGACAACCTTTAATTCAATAATTTTAAAACTAAAAAAAAAATTGCCGCGTTTAGTCACATATTGCATTTGAATTATTGCATTCGTGCAATAGAGAGAATATTTTCATTCGTTGAAAACTCATGAAAAAATTCTCACCATTGCACTCATAATCATTCATTATTTGTACATCAATTGATATAAACAAGACCAGGCAAGCAAGCTTAGTAACGATTCAAAATCTACATATATAGTCTTAGAATGCACAAAATTACATTCAATTGATTAAGATTGGCCATTTACTTGA